TGTGGACCTCTTTACCTCTCACCTAATCTACATCGTGTTCAGGACGAAGAAAAAACCTCCACTAATGCAGTGAAGTTTTCCTGCTTTTGTAACTATCCATTTTCTCGAAGTGTTAGAAGATATTAGTGTCAAAAATCAAAACTCCTCCCGTATCTACGTGAAATAGAGGCACATGAAGGTGATCCGAAACAACCACCCGTTGGAAAAGCTGTCGATAGCTCGCATCTTCAAGGGTTGCTTACAAGCAAGCTGATGGCGTATATTGGTACCAAATACGGTAAAAACTCAATATCACCCTCCAAAAAATTTTTCCGAACAATGATGGGGATATTCTGTGACCTAGTAAAGATGATATTAGCCAAAAATGCGCAAGCATACAGCTACTGCCATTGTGCAGATGGTGCAGTATGTGACGTTCACTTATTTGCACTAAAAAAAGAAAGATTTTATTTTGGCAAAAATCGTATGGCACTTTTCAAAATATTAAATAATATACAAAAAATAGTCTTCATCAAGCTGGTGCAGCTTAATTATTATCAAATATCAAGTAATTATTAAATTGAAAAAACTGCGAAATTAATTTAAAAATATAGCAAACCGTACAGATAGGCCCGTGTAATTTGAGCTAAGCCAGCAAATTCGCCAAATCCGGAACACTACAGAATGTTATAGAAATTTTAGTGATACAAACAATGAATATCCCTGGCTAGGATGGTGGATGAGGACGAGGGCCAGAAATCGTCTATGCGTTAACATATGCAGTTTGTTTGGCGTTACTGGCTCACCACCGTGCAGGGGACACAGTCGAATTTTGATTATTAATGAAAAAACAGTGCAAGTGCAGTTTAGATCTCTCAGTTTTGTTTCGACAACAAAAAAAAACAAAAAACAAAAATTCAGTGCAGTTTAATTTTAACTTTAGGGGATTTCTAAGCATCATGTTAAATAAAAGTAACAAATGCTTTATTTTCTTTTTTTTTTTTCTTCCCTTAAGCTTCATTTTCTACAGAAGGCACTGGCGATGCGCGCGATCGTCGTCGTATACATCTGGAAAAAGGCAATAATTACATTGATTTTAACCTCTCCCATTCATAAAGCGGGTAATCTTTCTTCAATGATCGAAGACGCTCATCTTTCTTTTTTCCTTGCTTTTCCGACAGAAATGATGGATTTATTACATTCCTAGACCAAGAATTTCTACAATCTCAAAGGGTCAAGAACCACAGATGTATTCGGTGTTGTCTTAAAGTTTGGTACTTTGTTAAACCGTTGTTTCATTGTCGCATTTGTTCTCGCCATTGATGCAACTGGTAATTTCTCCATTCTTCTCTATTTTGGATCAATCCCGACCACATAAGACCCATACTGACTCTCAAGCGAATCTTCCCACCGGATTAATGATCTTCGTTGTATTCTTTTAAAACTGACTACAATTTACAGAAAAATACGAGCTACTAACCTTGGGCAACGCTTACTTTTCCGGCTGAAACAGTCCTGGTGAAAAGTAGCCAAGCATTTGCGACATATAGCAACATCATCGGAAAATGGATAAATTACCTAGAAATTAAGAAACTTATCTAGCTGCGCTTGAAACAACTGAAATACGTGAACTGATTTAGGCCGAAAAATGACGATTCAAATCAGATTTAATTCAGTACATTCAGAAAAAGTTGTAAAAGGTAGCTCTACATAAGTTTAGCACCAAATGATCTCCTGCGCATTCTCGAAAAAAAAAAACACTTTACAACTTCACCCTCTTCGACGAGCCTACTTGGACCGTCCAGTTTTGGTTCCACGGCTTCTCTACTTCTATTTTAGTATATAATAGGAAGGATCAAAATAAACCAACAACAAAAAAAAAGCTTGATGCCTTTTCATCCCTAGAGGAAAAGCCGAAGTTCAGCTAAATTAGACATGCTACTGAAGCAAGAAGATAAAAAACTAGTCAAACAAAAAAAAAAAAAAGTTGGATAAACGAAAAAAACTAGTCAAACAAAAAAAAAAAGTTGGATAAACGGAAGATCAGATAAACGAAGCGGATTACTAAGCTTATCACTAAAGTTAAAATCGGGTGTTACCAAATAACAACGGCTTCAAGCCACAAAACTGTGTTTTACAGTGTAAAAAAAAAATCAACCTACCTTTGTATCATCACATAATTCGCAAATAAATCCTTTCCCCTGACATGTTAAGCAATTTTTTGTTATATGTTCGGTGAAAATCCTGACAATTTCTTCGATTTCCGGCAGCAATCGTCCTTGATACAAATCTATCAAATCCAGGAAACTGTACATATCCGAATTTTCAACAAAATGTTGATGATGACTTAGATGTTGCAAAATCCTCTCCTTTCGAGCAGTCTGAAAATTACAAATTCGTAAAATATTCATATGTTATTCATACTTTCAATGTTTTTTTTTTCAGTTTGTTACAAAAATGTCCGGACAATCGATGACTGAATGTAACTTTGGGACATAGGCAGATTCGGGCGGGACGGGGGACGATGGGTCTTTCCCCTCTCCTCCCCCCCCCCCCCCCCCCCCCCCCCCCCCCCCCCCCCCCCCCCCCCCCC